CGGATCGGTGATGATCCATACCCGACCCTTTTAATAAAAGGGTTAGCGGTATGGGTCGTTAACGGGTAAACAAATCNCGGATCGGTGATGATCCATACCCGACCCTTTTAATAAAAGGGTTAGCGGTATGGGTCGTTAACGGGTAAACGAATCAAAAACTATGCTCCAAACCCGTATAATTGTTAAGGGTTTGGATCGGATCAGGGTCAAAATCCGCTCCATTGCCGGGCCTAGTCATTTGGGTGCACTTGATCGATTAAACTTTTGGTTTAAAACTAGGGGAGATAAGGGTCGAGATAGTGGGAGATAAAGATTGACTATGCATCAATAGTCTATATCTCTTATCAAACTTTTTGAATTTTAAAACAACACCCTTTATAATGCCTAAGATAAGTTATGAAAAGCGAAAGCAAATTTAATTTATTTTGAAATCTGGCTGTAATGGGAAAATCAGGAGACGATGCACCGGCCATCGGCATTGACCTCGGAACAACGTACTCATGTGTCGCCGTTTGGAAGAATAATCGCATCGAAATCATTCCTAATGCTCAAGGATATAGAACGACACCGTCTTGTGTTGCTTTCGTTGATGCAGCACGTCTCATTGGTGATGGCGCCAAGAACCAAGCTGCCATCAACCCTGCTAACACCATATTTGGTAAGCTTTTTTTTCTTTTCATAGACTTTATCTAATGTTGGTATTTTATTATGTTTAACCATAGGGAAATTCCATATTTTAAGAATCATTCCTCACTCAACAGCGGAATCTGATACATTTAAGTACACTGAAGTCTTAAATCATTGTGTTATAAACTAATCTTCTAATTTGAAGCACAAGGTAAAGTATATTGCCATATTGGTGTTCTTTCCATATCGTCTGCATGCATATTACTTTCTCTTTAAATAACAACCAAAAAATCTAGTCCTAGATAGCCAGTTTAGGGAATTAAAATCTGATATCTTTGACTTTTCTACTACTGTGGATCTTCAGATGCTAAGAGGTTGATTGGAAGGAGGTTCAGTGATTCCAAAGTGCAGGATGACAAGAAATTGTGGCCTTTTAAGGTGATAGAAGGTCCTTCCGACACACCAAAAATAGTTGTCTCCTACAAAGGTAAAGCCAAAGAATTTTTGGCGGAAGAAATTTCATCGATGGTTCTTGGAAAGATGAAAGAGATTGCTGAGTCATACGTTGGAAAACCAGTAAAAAATGCTGTGATAACAGTCCCAGCGTACTTTAACGATTCACAACGTCAAGCAACAAAGGGTGCTGGCACTATTGCTGGACTCAATGTCATTAGCATGATCAATGAGCCTACATCAGCTGCAATTGCTTATGGTCTAGAAGAGTCCCTCAAAATGAAAGAGAAAGAGAAAAAGAAGAAGAATGTGGTCGTGTTTGATCTGGGTGGTGGCACTTTTGATGTCTCTATATTGACTATGGTAGAAGGGGATGTCGGTACCTTTGAGGTGAAAGCCGTTGCTGGTGATACTCATTTGGGAGGCGAGGATTTTGATAACCGCATGGTGGATCATTGTGTTAGGGAATTCAAAAGAAAATGGAAGAAAGACTTAACACCCAACAAAAAAGCATTGGGGAGACTGAGATGTGCTTGTGAGAAAGCAAAAAGGATTCTCTCAAGCGATACTCTCACTTCAATCGAGCTAGATTGCTTGCATGAGGGGATTGATTTTTCTATGAAATTCAGTCGAGCTAAATTTGAAGACATCAACATGGATTATTTTGATCGGTGCATCAAGACTCTGGAGGCATGTTTAAGCGATGCAAAGATCAAGAAACCGGAGGTAAACGAGGTGATTCTTGTTGGTGGGTCAACTAGAATACCAAAGGTCCAATGTATGTTGCAAAAACTTTTCTATCAGAAGGAGCTATACAAAAGCCTAAACCCCGATGAGGCTGTAGCATACGGTGCAGCGGTTATGGCTGCAAAGTTAAGCGGTAACAGTGATAAAAGGTGTCAAGATTTGGTGTTATTAGATGTCACCCCTTTGTCCCTTGGTATAGAGGTAAGAGGCAAAAAATTTAACGTGGTGATCCCAAGGAACACTCCAATACCTACAAAGATATCCAAAATTTATTGTACAACCAAAGACAACCAATCTTGTTGGGAAATCATGGTGTATCAAGGTGAAAGAGCCAAATCTACGGATAACCACTTGTTGGGGATGTTCAGAATTTCTGGAATACCCCCGGCTCCAAAAGGAGTTGTAAACACAATTGCGTGTTTTGAAATAGATGCCAGCGGTATCCTCACAGTCACAGCGGGGATATTATCAACCGGTAAGATGAATAAACTCATGATTACCAATGAAAACAGAAGACTCTCAAAGCAAGAGATCGAGAAGATGGTAAAAGATGCTGAAGACTACAAACACGAGGACAAAGAATACAAAAAGAAAGTAGATGCATTCAATGCTCTAGAGGATTGCATATACGACATGAAAAATAAGATTAAGAATATGGCTTACAGTGAGAGGTTGAAGATGATGGAGCACAAGATTGCTGACGCGACCAAGTGGATCGAGCACCACGAAGATGCATCCATTGATGAGGTTCAGGCAATGAAGGAATATCTGGAGTCCATATGCATGCAAGAATTTTAGTTCTCAAATCATAGTTGTTAATTAAACTGGTATCTTCTAAGGTTGTGGTTTCTTTTCATTAGTTTATGCTAAACAGTGCAACTCATGAATTCTGGAATGCTATTTCGATCTTCTACTCATGCAACCATGCAAGGCATGTGATATTGGTACATTATGGATTTATAGAAATTTGCATACTATGTTTATAACGGTGGTTGTTGTTTGATTATTATGGATTTATAGAAATTTGCATACTATGTTTATAACGTTGGTTGTTGTTTGATAATGTTTATTCATGTATCAAGATGGAACGTCCAATATGGTTTAGGCCACACTTGGTAAAATTATGTTATCCGCTTTTTGTTTCAGTATTAGTACATATATGCTGAATTTACCCCAAGCATAAAGCACCCCAAAGGAAAATTGGAACTTGCAAAATCGGAGCTAGTGTGCTTACTTTGAAGAACCGTAAAAGATACATTATGTATTGAAGTAATTAAATTTTTGTTATGCATGCCAAGCATCTATGGACTCAACAAGACCACAAGAATCTTAATCATATGAAATGGGGCTTCACCAGCCATTTTTCACCGGCAAGAGAATAATAAGAGAAAGTAACAGTTCCTTGGAATAACAAACACTAGATGGTGGGTTGAAATTTGTAGTCTGTCATTCCTTAGGCATCTTTTTCTTTAAATCTAGTTATAGATTGTTCAAGCAATGTTGGTAGATATTTTGCGTACAAAAATACTAGTTTCTAGATTGTAATGGTTTCAAAGTTAAGCCCAAGAGTCTACTTCCACCACACAATACGGTGGGTTGAGCTGGTAGGAGCGGGACGTGGGGAACACCACAACGTGTGGTGTGTGGGATTACACCGCATGCATTCTTCTTCATTTTTTACCGTTGGACGCATTTAGGATTATAATTTTTTTTCCTCTATCTCCAGTACAGAATACTACTTTCATTATATACCACAACACAAAAAAACCTCTATATTCTTTATATCAAATTCAAAACGCCATAATCATTTTCCACGGTAAGTTTGCTTTGTGAGAATCTGCAAATAATGCTCGCTTACCTACAAGAAGACAAAGTTGAAACTTCCTCTTCAAAAACCAGAAAATGCCCTTTACAGAGAAATCGTGTGGATGGGCACAACCATCTTGTACAGTACTATTTTGTCGATGATGTTGTCTATGATGAAAAGTTTAGACGTCGGCTTCGGACGAGGAAAGAATTTTTCTACGCATATTTAGTGGGATGAAGAATCGATTTCCATATTTTCAACCGAAGTGGGAAGCTAGAGGTAAGCAAGGTTTCCCTCCAACTAAAAAATACAACTACAATTCGTCAACTAGCATTCAACATAGGATCGGACTCATAGGATGAGTATTTGAGGCTCTCAGAGAAAACGGCACAAGAATATCTTTAATTACAAGTTTGCTAAAATCCTAAACCGCGACTAATATTTGCACGAACCTACAATTAACATTCTCCACCAATTGTATATGGCACATGAAAAGAAGCATGATTTTCCTTGAATGATTGGTAGTATTGATTGTATGTATTAGGGGTGCGCAATGTGCCCTAATGTGTGGCGCAGTCAAATCATGTGAGGTGAACAGAAATATCCGACTTTTAATTTTAGAAGCAACAATGTCAAATGATCTTTAGATATGGCATGCATTTTTTGTTGTACCGTGTCTCACAACGACATCAATGTTGTAGACCAATCGTTGATATTCGACGACATCCACATTGGGAAATCGTATGATGTGTCGTTTCAAGTGAGTGAAACATCATATAAGTATAGATACTACCTTACTGATGAGATATATCCAGAGTTAGCTACATTTGTGAAATCATTTTCATATCCAAACGAAGAAAAATAATTAAACTTTAGGAGACCCAATAATCAACTAGGAAGGATGCCGAATGAGCCTTTATTGTTCTATAGATACTTTGGCAGGTCCTCAAAGTCCCGACGCGGTCATACGAGCGTACAAGAATAGATAGCCTGATTTGCACATGCATCATATTGCATAGCATGATTTTTAAAAATGAAAGAAAAGTGATTTCCCACTATAGTGAAAATAAAAATTTACCAATATCCGAAGGAGTAGATCAAGGGCGGAGCTTTATAGGGGCAAGGGGGGCTGTAGCCCCCTCTGATTTTGTTGTTAGAAATAGTCCCTCTACTTTAATTTTATACATATTAGGCCCAAAAATATAAAATTGTGGCTATGGCCCCCTGCTCACCGATTTTTATACATATTATATTTCCGGCCCCCAAATCAAATGTTGAAGCTCCGCCCCTGGAGTAGATAATAGGTATGACGAAATACACGACGAACAAAAGAGAAATACATGACAACGTTGGACATCACAACCTTCAAATTGATTTGGTGGAACACATTTTCAATACTCATTTAAATCCTGTCGGTGACAATTCAAGTGTTTTTGTATAAATGATGTACGTTGTATTCAAAAATATTTGTAAAAAATGTTCTGTTTCGAAATGTATTCTAAAAATAAGGCGGTGGCCTCACATTCCACCATCCGTTCTTAACAATATACAAATCAAACCTCTAGTATTTCATATTTATCCTTTTAAGTCTTTCAACTACAAATCAACCTATAATATTTCATTTTTGATCCTTTAAGTTTTATAAAATGTCGTATATATAGATTATATTAATTTTAAATTTTTTTTTAAATTGTTATTATCTTTAATATATAAGTCATTTATTTAGGAATCATTGAATACATACAAATTTCATTTATATTTAATATAAATATAAATATACGATCAACTTCATGATATTTCATTTATAGCCCTTTAATTTAAACTAGTGAGGTGGTATGAATCACAAAGGTAAAAATCTAAAATTGTAATTATCACAACTGCAAAACAAATCACAAAACAACCAGCTTACTTTATTGAATCCTTCAACTCAAAAAATCTTACGCTTTAATTGAATGATTTGAGAAGTGTAAGTCCAATGTCCAATATAAAGTTGTGCATCCAATTTTTCTTGAAAGCATTTATAGGGTCTTGGTTAATAGAAGCTCAATACCGTCAAATTTTGTTGATCCAGATAAAGATTGACGATTTTAAGCCTGAAATTTATCAACTGCTCCACATTGTCAACCATCTGCAAAATGGAAAGACATCATGAAGAACTTGAATACTTATGTACATCAAGGAATTAAAAGTTTATTGGTAATTCTCCACACAACAAAAAAAAAATACGCAAATGATATTTGTAATAATTTCAGAAGCAAAAATGATGTCTCTGACCATACAAATTGGTACGATCGTAATTTG